CAGCTGGCACGCCGGTGCATCATGGACGGTCATCCCTTGCTCATAACCCTGACATGTCCGCACATGACTGAGCACTTGAATGCTACTTCATCTGTTTGGCCACTGTTGGAAGCAACACACTTGAGGGTAGCTTTTGGGCTGGTCTTCTTTGCAGGTACGTAGATCAGGCGTCCCTCATCTATATCCTTGCCACACATCACTCAACTGTGTTGGCAAAGGAAGTGATGTGGGCACCTCTGCCCCCTGCATATCTACTTCTAGATCTCTTGGTAACAAAGTTGGACACACACACACACACCCCCTTCCGTAGAAGGGGTGGGCCTCGCGGCAGCTACGCAGTATAGATGACAACGAAAAAGGCGTACACTCGTCCTTGTCCTCAAAAAGGGTAGACTTTTCTATCAAGCAGACAAAGCCTCTAGCCAGCATCACTACTAGACGTACTGTCCGCCATCTTCTGCTCCAGGCAACGCAAGGCGCACAAGCTATGTAGACTCCCTTCTCCACTCTTCACCTTCCGCTCTCCACTCCCCCCACACACTTGCCATCCTTCACACCGCACTGCACTCTCCATTCCACCTTCTATCCACTTTCCACTCTCCGACTTTCCGCTCACTTTCCACTCTCTGACTCTCCGCTCACTTTACACTCCGGACACGAAGGTCCAAAGGGGATGACACTTAGGATGAACCCCAGAGCCCAGAGGCTCCATCCCTCGTGCCATTGACGCTTTTGACATCTGCGACGACACTGGGGACCATAAGCGGCGACAGTTACGAGGATGCGAACGCTTCACGAACGCTTCGTGGACACAAACGCAACGATTTCAGTCACTTCCTGGATCCTTGGACCCCAACACTCAAAAAGGGAACTCTTCTGCGGAGCATTCGGGAAAACAAGTTTCTACCTCTTCAGTCATAGCCAGTCTGGGGTTTCCAGTCGGACTTGCTGGCATCGGGCTCTTGTCGAAGTTCCGTGGGATGGGTTACTATGATGGCTTTTCCTAGAAGATCCAAAGTCGTGTCGCAACTGTGTTGCGTGCGTTCGGTTTGTTTGTTGTCAGGGGTGTATCTGCAACAGCGGTTGTCTTATACAGAATGCGAATCCGCTGTCTACATACTTTCTGCGACATACTAGCCTGCAACGATTGACCTGACTTCAGCTGTTGTATGTCCAAGCCATAATGCTACAGTGCTGCAGGCGTTGGTACCTTGTCAGCGAACCACAGGCGGCCACGGCCAAGGACCGCTTCAGATGTGCCGTCTTGCTCTAGAAGGTCTTCCTGACAGCATGGGGTGGGAGTTTCAGCGGTGGGGTGGCCGCAGGGTGACAGCCCATGACTGCAGCTTTGGGTTGCTAGGCGTGAGTGCTGGATTCGCATTCCAGAAATAAGGTTGCTCTACACGGGTGGACCCACCGATCTTTTGAATCAAAAGCTCACTCTGTCCATTGAGGAGATCTTGAGCCTGGCTGCATCTGTGCTGCGGTCTCAGCAATGAGCTGGCCAGTCCGATGTGGCTTCTGCTGCGAACTGGCCCCAGGTTAGGCCAGCCGCGCCATGACCGGGCGTGTGAGGAAGTTGAAGGCGCTGTGGATGTCTGTGCTTCGGGAACATGGCATAGGCCCTGAGACTTCTGAGCTCTTCTGAGGCTTGGAGGTGTGCAGTCCTGGCATTGGCCCATCGAATGGGGTGTGGTGGAATGGCCCGATCAAGCAGATCCCCGAGGCATGTCTTGGAATCAAAGATGATAGCTCCCCAAGCCTTGTGCCAGTCTGGCACCACCTTTCCCGACAAACTCATGCGTACAGTGTCTTTGGGTCGAATCCTCAAAGGAATGAATTTGTGCAAAAGACAGAACTCAGAACTCACTTACCAAGGTTTCGGCTCCTTCCACAAGCCCAAAGAGACACATCTCAGCTCGCAGCTGGCTGATGGCCTCAGCAGTTCCTGCCGACTATCTCGCCTCAAGCCCTCCTCCTGCTTTGAGGTGTCACGGCTCCCCTGGCTCTACGTTCAGGCATGCTGTGCCGTCCTCCTGTTGTGCTTGGCTCACAGCATGCCAGGATGGCCCCCATGTGGTTTCAGTACACATGTTTGCTGGACTATGCGACTTGTTCCGCATGATGCAACTGAGGTTCCATCGCCATGCTTGGGGCCACCTGCTCCATGTGGTCTCACCAATGTTGTGATATTTGAGCGGCAAAGCCCAAAGCTTGGCTTTTCGTGAGCCTTCGGGTGGCGATGAACGGCTGCTTGCAACTCATAGTCGGTGGGCCTCTCACCCTCATGGACTGGTCCATGATTGTGTTGCATGTGTGACCTTGATGCTGCAGAGACTGCTTTTCAGGGATGCGCAGCCGCAAATTGTGGCTCAAGAAGTGTGTTTCAGTTGCATTTGTTATTTGAACTGGGCCGCCGGATGCCCAGCTCGGAACAGCGCAAGCATTTCACCATATTTGCGAATTGAAATGGTTTGCGTTTGCCGGGTTCACGCATCCCTCAGGGTAGTCGCCTCATACGGCATGCTACAATTTCACAAAACAGGACTTGAGGGCAAACTTGAGCCTCAGAAATGGCCTTTGGATCCGAGGTCTCCGCAATGAGCGAGGCAGGCAATGCCTATAGTGGCGGCATCAAGGACAAACTTCTTTTTGCTTCAGCCGAGTTGCGAACCCTCTTAGGGGTTACTATCCAATCTGGGTTGGCGAGACTACGTAGGCGGTCAAACTGCTGATCGGGCATGTTTGCCGTCACCAGGATGGCCTATTCCACGGAAAGGGTACTTTGACTTATGCCGGGAATGAAAGGTATGATGGAGAGCACTGGCCTGAGCTTCGAAAGTGCACATGTTTTCAAAGATGATACTTGTATGACCTTGCCTGCATGAAGCAGCTTCGTATCTGCAAGGTGGGTTTATGGCAAAAGAGAAGGCCACGGTAGGTGCGCAACGCATCCTTCTTGGATGACGCAAGCGCACGTGCGTTCACAAGCTCATGACAGGTTTACATATGCAGATGGTGCCATTTTTGAGGGTCAGTGGTCAGAGGACCGAATTCTGATGCTGCATTGCTCTAGACATCTCTAGGGTCTATGCCGGAGAAAGCTGCGCTCCACCAGGACAGGATACATGGCCAGGGTGTGGCCGTGTTTGCATCAGGGAACAGGTACGAGGGGACTTGGGAGAATGGCCGAATTCATGGGCATGGTACGGAGCTTACCACGTTTAGCAACTTCGCGGTTTGTGAGAGTGTGCCCGTGACGCCTGAGGAACCTTGACCTACTCGAACAAGGACCAATATGATGGGGACTGGTTGCACCCTTAAGCGACGCGTAAATAAGATTCGTCTGATGGTGTGGTGCATGATTGGCATCCAGCTTCTTGAGTGTGTTTAGCTGCGTTGCATCCATGAGGCATGATGGGAAAATGCACGGGCGAGGCACCTATCGCTACGCAGACCACTAAGTTCTCGCGCATCACGAAGAGGGGATCTTCCACATGTTCAACTGCACAACTAAGGCGGAAGGTGACGTGTATCAAGGTGAGTGGCGGGATGATAAGAGGCATGGAAGGGGGGTGGTCACCTACGCTCGCGCCCCAGCGGTTTTCAGTTTGCAAGTGGCTGGCAAGTTTCAAGCTCGAGGTCAGCGCTCGCGGAAGCGTCGTTGAAAAGTTTGAGGGTGACTGGGTGAATGGGAAGATGCACGGTCACGGCAAGTGCCCTGTCATGGAACCATCCGGCTCATGTTGAACTCAGGAGGTGACTTTCATTGCTGGAGCTACAGGTACCAATATGCCGATGGCGGGGTGTATGAGGGTGACTGGCATGACGGCAAGATGCATGGAAAGGGCATCTATGCCTTGCACCAAGCGGTCGTTTCTTTGTTCCTGAATCTGTCAGCTGCAAGACTTCAAGATCATTGCTTTGTCGTAAACCATCAAAATCGTTCCTCGATACAGCTCCAGATGGAAGCCTGACTATCCTAAAGCATCGTGACTCCAATCCACGCAAGCAGCATCTTCCGCTCCGTGCATGTAAAGCTTCAGCCTGGACATGAGGTCTTCCCGAACGGGAACACATACGATGGTGAATGGGTGAATGATATGAAGGAAGGCATGGTTCCCTGAAATGAAGTAGAGTGCTTTCACTAGTTCTGATTCTAATGTGTGAGGCTATGGCACCTTGACATACCAGAATGGAGAGAAGTACGACGGCCTTTGGAAGGCTGACAAGGCTCGGATATGCTAGTCACCCCCCATTATTGTGGAAGGCCTTTCCCATCCACTCGCATCAAAGGGTTGTTGCGCAGACCTTTGTCTTCCGCTTACACTGTGCGTCCGTCCAAATGGTGTTGCAGAGCGAATAAAGGATTTGTCATGGATTGATAAAGAAAAGAATCTACGCGGTTGATCTTTTATATCCGCTTCCGATCATGATGAACGTTCCCCGCGGTGGTCATAAGAAATCCGCCCGAGCATGTTATTACAATTATGGGGTCCCTTTTCATTGATTAGAGAACATCCGTATTTCTGTTGAGAATTCCCAATCGAACCAGTTAAAGTTGAGCTAAATTCAGTTCATAGCAATCTCAAGCAGATAAAAGTAATTATTCAAAGCGTCAAAATCGAGGTAAAACCAAATTGACATCTACAAGTATTTAAAAAGATGAAAGCTGAATGAATATTGATTAGAGTGAGCAGTGAACGTTCTCATCAGATAAACTCGAATTATGATCACATACGATCGAAGTAAAAATCGACTTGAGAAACAATATCAAAATTAATCAACATTGAACTAAAATCAATTAACGCCAGATTGAATCAAATAAAAATCTACTTAACATCAGTTAGCAATGAAACTTGTGTTTGTCCAGGCATGTTGTGC